CCCAGCCCAGCCGAGCACACAGGCACGGACGTGCAGTCACGTACCGCGGGCTGTGGCTGACGTGCTTACCGCCGGAGAAGTCAGAACACTCGGATTAAAAAAACATCCCTGAAATCTCACCAATGCGATAAAGGCGGGAAGGACCCTCCCTGCCAGGGGCCCTGCTTCCAGCCGGAGGGACGCGCAGGCCCGGGGCAGCGGGAGGTCACGGAGCCCGGTCTGGGCCCGCCGTGGCTCCCAAGTGGGTTTGGGGACCAGACCCTCCTCCCGCGCACCCCACTTTTTGCCTCTTTCCTGTCTCAGGCCCTGGCAGACCCCACAACACGGGAGATGTGAGGGGGGCCCAGAGAGGGTACGTGGAGGGCCATGGTCCCCCTCTCGATGTTTCTTCTCCCCCAACTCCCGGTCCCCCGCCCGGTCTGGGCCCGCCGTGGCTCCCAAGTGGGTTTGGGGACCAGACCCTCCTCCCGCGCACCCCACTTTTTGCCTCTTTCCTGTCTCAGGCCCTGGCAGACCCCACAACACGGGAGATGTGAGGGGGGCCCAGAGAGGGTACGTGGAGGGCCATGGTCCCCCTCTCGATGTTTCTTCTCCCCCAACTCCCGGTCCCCCTTCCTTCCTTGGGCTGCCCCCCGCCCCCCCGCAGTAAGTCCTCCTGGCCTGCACTGAAAGACCAGGGCTGAGCCGACCCCTCTGGACCTGAGTCTGTGCCTGTCCCTGGGGACAGAGCGCCCAGGTGGAGTCTGGTCCCCGGCTGTGGGGGAGGCACCGACTGCCCCAAATCACCCCATTCTCAGAAAGCCTGCACGGGACAGCTGGAATGTTCCACTGCAGGTCCAGGAGCGACTGAGAGGCCACTTTCCCTCAGGGTTTGGTGCCAACGCATCCCCCACGGAGCCAAATGCAGCGTCTTCCCTGGGGGCACCCGGGCCCCAGCCCTGGGGGTGGCGGTTTCCTGGGTGACCTGGTCCCCAACCAGCCTGCACACTCGGCTTCCTCCCACCCAGCTCCAGCCTCACACCCCAGCCGGTGCCCCCCACCCCGGCGTCCAGCCTGGCCTGGGCCCCGCACTCACTTGGGTCTTGGCTTCTCCTCTGGTCACCACCGCACCAGCCAGCATGGGGAGAGGGGAGAGAGACCACGTGAGACTGGGGTCCCCTCCTGCCTGCAGGCCCCTGGGGTCCCCCGGCTCCTGCTCTGCAGCTGAGCCCAGCACCCACTCCACCAACCACCAGAAGAGAGGGCTTGTCCCCACTCTGGGTCTGAAGAAATCCCTGTGGGTTCTGGGGAGGGGAGTTCAGGGGGGACCAGGACACAAAGAGGGGGAAGGGGTGAAAGGGAGAAGCAGAAGCAAGAAGCACTTGGGGGGAGGGGGGGGAGGGGGCCAGGGAAGACCAGAGAGGCAGGAGGGGATGGGAGCTGGATGAGGAAGGAGAGGGAGGGCGACGGGGAAGAGGGGAGAGGAGAGAGCACCCCTTGCCCCAGCTCCTGCCTGCTGGCTGGTCCCCACGACCACCTCCCCGCCCCGCTGTGCCTGCAGACGCTCTGAGGTGAGGCCCCAGCCCGGCCTGTCCTTGGAGGGAGAGGGATGGAGA